CAATACTATGATAATTCCTGCAATCCAACCCATCTCCTTTCTTGAATATGGTAACGATTCTGGCATCTCCCAAGTCACTGGGAATCTGGTTTGTGTTTCTAGTTTTCAGAATAACAACAGATAATTGGTGAGAGACTTTCTTTCCATCTTGCTTATAAATTTCAACTAATCTTCCATTAGGACCACATGCTTTGCTGTTTTTCATCTGCTTAATGGCTTTCAAGGCCTCTTGACAAATTGGTTGATCTGCAGGGTAGTCCTTAATAGGGTGTCAGTGAATGGCTTTGATGGTGGTGTCTGCAATGTTGGTATCTTGGTTCAAGAGCTCTTGAAAGTGTTTTCAAGCACTTGATATTGAAACTCTTCCTTGATAGCTTCTTGTGTTTACATCATTTTTGGGCAATGCAAGTAGACATGATGGACTGTATCAGACAATGATCCATCCAGCAGTCATCTGCACTGGTCATAGCTCTGGTGATCCAGACATTGTCATGGGTCTGGACAAACACTATGACACAACCAATCAGGTGCCAGTGTTTTGAATGGGTGCATCCACAGTGTCTTCACTTGTTCTCTGACCGTAAACATTATCCTTTGATCTAAAGGACAATGCTCATGGTCAGAGAAGGCGGCACCCTAGAGGGAGAAATCCCAAGACAGGACTCTAAGACAGCCCTGCTAAACATCCACTGGAGCCATCTAGCCAGTCAGCCCTGCTCATTCTTGCTGTAGGGGTTAAATCAGTATTGGTCTTCTCTTGGACACTGCATTGGCTTGTACAGCCAGCAGTAGTGTGAAGAGCTGCATGTAAGCTGCAGTTAGGTAGTGAGGCCTGTAGCTCCTGAGCCCATATATGAAAAAAAGACAATTTCATGGGTTTGGTATCTTCCCTATGAGACATCAAAAGCCTCATGCCCCCCCCTTCCAGAAGCACATGGGTTCTACACTCAGGAACAAATTTCTATCCTATATTATTCAAATAAATAACTGATACTACTTCTCAGGTTAGCTTTTTTGATCATACTCAGATATAGGCAATTTCTGGACAGAAAAGGAGTGTAAGTTCCCAGGTCCAATAAGGAAGCAAGTCCCGCTTCTCTCCAGGACTCAATTACTAGTTCACTTTTCTCAAATCAAGCTAAGCAATCCTTGGCTTCACCCTTAACTGACAGCTACACCACCAGGGGGAGCATATAAGGAGACAGGTCTAACTCTTGGTGTAAGCAAACAGGAGTTCAATGAGATCAAAAGGCTAGTGAGAGCTTCGGAAAATGCTACTTCAAAATTCATTTAAATAAAGGAACTCAAAATCTGCTTAAACACATCTACAGTAAGCACCTTTTACCACAACTACATAGCCAGTATCTGGTTTTAACCGAGAATATATGAACACTTCCCAAGTGGCATAACTCCCTGAGGATGTTTTATATACATTGGCCTAAACATTCACTCTACAGCCAAAAAGGTGTTAGTGTTGTAAGGATCAATACAATTCAGCCATCATGAGGAAGTAATGAAAAAGGTCATGGGACTGCAAAGGACTTGCTTCCTGCCTGAATTAACTTCCTGGCAACCTTTAAACTGTCATTTTGAATACGTTTTAAAAATCAGAAACTGCTATGCTGTGTTTCTGAAGCAAACAACTAAAAAGGAGCAGCCTAAATTAAGTTTCAAGAACTATTCGAGTTATGACATTTGTATTAACTGAAGGCTTAAAAAAGACCCGCTTGCAGAGGGCTCAGTCTCCACCACCACGGAGCATGCATTAGTGTATACTTTCCAGGGACCTGTGCCTGGGGAATATCGGTAGCTAGAGTTAAATCCCACTGGCACTCCCACTCCAGCATTGGATCAGGGGCACGTCGTACTGATGGTCTATCACTGAGTAGTTTACCCACCTTACTATGGAACTCACCCCAGGATGCAAGGGTCATGCAGGTCACTGTGCTGGTTAGTCTCCATGAAAGGTCAACACAAGTCACTCATAACGGACAAGGCAGAAGGCTACAGATGGAAGACTGGAAATCCCCCAGAAGAATGAAGAGGCAGTAGCTTTCATTCCAGACTGTGGAAACTAGGTTCAAGTTGATGCTTTTTACAGTACCTGCAAAGATTCTCACAAACAGCCCAAGGATTTGGGCTTCATTGACAGGGAAGGGAGACTTGGGCTCCTCCCAGACAACGTTGTGCAGCTTCAAAGGACTTGGGCCTCAGCATTACCCAGTTTCTTTTAAAATGCAGTTACTTTGCCGGGACCCTCATATTCTCATCCAACTCCTTCAAGAAATCTTCAGAGCAACTTCTCATTCTATTGGGAAGCATCTTAAAATAACACTGATTAAAAGAAAAGGGTATTTTTTAAATAACCCCAAAGACCAAACCTTGTTTTAATAATGAAGACTGTTTTCCTGGAAATGCTCCTCTTAAAATTATTAACAACCACTCCTAGTGGCAAGACACTGGCAGTGCCCTCATCCTCCCTGCTTCACCTGTAGCAAAA